CAAGATATCTTTGGCGCTATATCTCCGAGAATTCGCAATGTGTTCTAAACGAGTTTTACTGTATTTATTTTTGATATTTACTAAAACATTTTCAACAGTTAATATAGAATGTAGAAGAATGATTATGAAAAGTACGATGTCAGATTTCTGAACCATTATTTAATCCTTTTTTCTCATTTTCAGTAGATAAATAATTAGAAAATAAAGAAACTCAGATTGATGGCCATCCACCAAATATTTGCGATAAAAATGACAATTTCAAACTGCGATAATAAGAGGAGCTATTCATTCATTTATAAATAATATTTGATACTAAGTTGAAAAGATTGTAATCTGTTTTTAAGGGGTGTTTCTGGTTTTAAATGTTTCCTGAAGTGTAAAATTGTTTTTAATTTTCTATACCAAATGTATCAAGAAGAACCTCTACATTGTGTGTATTGTAATAAATTTGAAAAAAATAGCTATATTATGTTATTATTTACAAACTCTGAAAGGATAATCAACTTATGATTTCTCTGTTAATAAGGAATCAAGACAAATAACTGTTCAATGTAAATGTATCATATCAACAAGTCGATTTTAAAATATTATGCAAAAATTTAAAAATTATTTGAACAATTGTCTTTACTTCAGCAACATGTCTCTAGAATTGAATTGGCCCTGTGAGTCAAACATCGTGCCATAATCATTCATGTACATGTATTGTTGAAGAATTAAAAGGCATCCCCTAAAATATTTTACTAATTCTAAATTTTTTTTTCGATTCAAAGATTTACCGATCATTTAACTCACTGAAAAAAATACGGCAAATTTAATTTAAAAGGTGTTTTAAAAAAGTTCGGTAGTATCAACCAGAATTTAGACTGTTCTTTGTTTGTATTCGTCTTGTTTAATTATAGAAAATAAATCACATGTGTTAAAAATATTGATAGATAAAATCTAAATTTGACCTTTTTGTTTATGTCAAGCTCATGCTTTTAGAGCTTCGTTAGAAACATTAACATTAAGCAAACGATGATATGAACACGTATTGATTTTTTTTTTATCACAGATGTCTTCTTTATCTTGAACATAAAGCTTATGTTTAAGCGTCATTACAGATGTAATGCATGCACCATCTAATATAACTGACTATAGATCAATGTCTTCATATAATATAAATACTTTACATTACTTAAACTTAATTTCCCTGTATCAAATTCTCCACATACATTTTCTTCCTTTTTCAACAAATAAATGTTTTAACGGTATTTCATTTCCAAAATTTGAAGTTTATTACAATCACTGCATACGAAGTACGAAATACTTTCACGTTTTCTCCTCTATATTTAGGACAGTTATTTCCAGGAACTGGTCCTAAGGTTCCAGGTTTCATATCTGTAATCTTGTACACTTTATGATTTTTCAACATGAATTGTTTTCTATGGTATTTTGTACACATATCGCATAAATATTCCATACATGCTAAACAATAATGGCTGCTATTTACCTCTTCATTGTCCCGTAAGCAAGCGTCACACATTCCTTGGTTTGGTCTCTCTATTATTTTGTCTAAGATTTCATTGACTGGAAAAAGCCCTGTCCATTCTTCGGGTTTATCAAAGGCTCCATTGCTTGGAATATATTCACGACATAATGGACAATTAGATCCTAAACCCGATTCTGTAGATTTACAGCAGATCACGATATAGGAAGATAAACAACCATGGCAAAACGAATGTGTACATGGCAAATACCTAGGTGTTTTGAAAGTTTCAAAACAAATTGTAGGCCTTTCAACTATTTTCTCAAGTTGCAAGTATGGTGAAAAACATTGTATAGCTAGATTTATACGTACATGAAATTATCAAAAAAGATAATAACTTATGCATACTTTTAATTACATCATTAAAAAGTTTAATCATTCATAATTGACTTTTCAGATGTTGTGTTTAAGGACAGGTAACTCAGGTGTGAAAAATGACCAACTTAGTGCCGATTTATGAGTTATCGTTTATAGGAGTGACATATAGGCTGCTTCAGCATTGGTATTGTTATATCCACAAAAGGGTTCCTTACATTGTTTTGTACACAAAAAGTTTTGACCAAGAGAAAGAGAAAGCCTTCACTCTACCTGAAATAACAGGGTCAAATGAATGGGGAACAGACTATATTCAATAGTTTTAACTCTCTTTGACGATTATTATGAAGAAGAAAATTTAATGTCATGTTTTTATGTTCGCGCTTTTTCGCTTCCTGTGTAAATATAAATATTTTTAAAAGTAAATGCAACAATTGATCATCTAATTTGTTTTACTAAGCACGAAGGGGACCGACCGAGTATAAAAACTTAGTTAGGTTAAAACTGAGAAGGAGGGTAGATTTCACTTTTTATTTTAATTAAAAATTTTAATGATGTGCAGTTAACCGGTGTCCGCAACTATACAGTAAATAAGTTTAACATTGTTGCTAAATTTTAAAACCACTGGATTCTACTGAGAGCAAAGAAACACTTGGGAAATGCTAAAAACTGCCTTGCGTGTAAACAGTTAGATACCCCGAGCCTGCTCTAAACAAGTTTCAGCAGTGAGTTATCGTTCATAACACCGACCCCTAGCGGCAGTTGAAAGGCCTACAAATTGAACACATAGTAACGTTCTCCACCGGAAAGTTTTCTTCACCTGAAGATGCCATCGTAAATTGTATAGCCTTCCTTCGAACGAAACGATAACCGGAAGACACCGGTGAATAAATATATATATACCTGCAAAACAGGTTTAAACAAATATATCAAAACCCATGTGTGTTTTAAATGAATATTTTTCTTTCAAACCCTGCCAAATACGATAACATATTCATAACTCTCATTAATAAATTAAATCATGATTAACATTTTTTGTGACAACATATGCTAACAATGGTTTGTCACTTATATGGATATGGTCATTTTATGTCTTATTGTTTATTGCATTAAATGTCAACCAAGCCTATAACCTTTTGTTGAATATTGACAACAGAAATGTAGGAACTTCAGGAGAATTGTGAAACAGTATTAGTATTCTTGAATAATTTAATTTTGTTTGTATTCTCGCCTCTCATTGGTTGATTTCCAAAAAGGAACGCAAAACATTTTGTATAATCTGGTTTGGTATGCGGACACACCCCCTTGACGACCAGCTTAATCATTATATCCATGCAATCCCCTCATTTCCAGTCCTCGGAATCCATGGAAATTTTCAGATTTAATAAATGTACCTTCAACTTTAAACAATGACTCGTTCTTACCTCATGTAAACAAACATCATGGCTGCTAGATCTATGTATCAGTTATTACCTCCCCTCTCTTCAAATCACTTCCGTTACTAAGGTTGTATTATTGCGCGGTAAATTTGAACTGATAAAAAGCAACACAATTTTACATAAAAAGTTGTTTAATTATTTTAAAATTAAATTATAAGGAATGACTTTAATTCTTTGCCATATTATCGAGTATAATCTGGTTTGGGTCAGTTTACGCTTTTTTATAATCCGCTTCGCGGATTATAAAGCGTAAACTGACCCAAACCAGATTATACTCGATAATATGGCCAAGAATTAGAGTCATTCCTTAAATAACGGGTAAAAAAAAGGATATGGAGATAACGAACAGTATTCGATATCAAAGTCCATGAAAAAAAAAATACAAATTAGGAGCAGAGCAAACACGGACCTCGGAAACATCAGAAGTGGGATCAGGTGCCATGGAGGAGTAAACATTCCCTGCTGACCGGTCATACCCGCTGTGTGATCTTTGTCATGATCGAGAAATAAATGAAAAATCCGTCGTCAATTCAGTGTGTAAATAATGGACTAACAAGTTGTATGAAAACGTCAGTCAATTATAAATTGTATTTGCTGACATTTTCATTGTATCGACCATAGAACGTATGAAATAATGACTTTAAACGAGACTGCCGATATTCTTCTTTCATCAACTTAAAACATATACGTATGTCTTTATAAAAACTCCGAAGAACTTTGAAATAATCATAAATTGTAAAACTTTACCAAAATTTATAACATCAAGGAGAACGACTTAACTAAATACAACAATTTCCCACGATAACATAAAGTCCGCACCTGTTTGTTTTTTTCTTTTATTGTTATTATTATTTGTTTTCTGTTTTTTGCATGTTTGATGTTTTAGAAATATTTTTTTTAAAAATCCAAATAAAAGGAACACAAGACGTGTAGGAACGTTTTCCAAAGGATGCTTACTCCTCCATGTCATTCATAAAAATCATTTCAATGACAGAAATTGAATTAACAATAAATAAAAAAATATATTTACCTATTCACTAGAAAACTTACTTGAACTTGAAATTAAGACCCTATATTACAATTAACAAACGGAGATTTAAAAGGCCTAGAATTAATTATTAAAAAATGATATTCTTCTTGTGTATTTTTTTGCTAAAATTCCACTTTTATTTTTTCTCATAATCTAAGAATTTTGTTTTCATGAAAACGAGACATCGATCATTTTGATTTTTCTAGATAAGAGACATTAAAATATTTCATAAAAATGACAAGTTTACGTTTGTTGACATTGTCAAGACTACTACAATGTACATAGCCCTAGATATTTGTATTAATTAATTTTACATTTACATTGAATTACTTTTAGTTATAGAAAATAAAGCACCTGTGTTAAGAAATACCGATATTAGAATCTAAATTTGAGTTTTGCCTATGTCTAGAGCATTATAAGAAACATTAACAAAACAAACGATGATATGGACGATTTTTATCAAAACATGCAGTTTGTACACATGATTTCTTAATGTTGAACATAAACTTAATATATCGATATCTTAGCGTCATTACACATGTAATACATGTACCATCGTATATAATTAACAATAGATAATTGTCGTCATTTAATATCATAACTTTACACAACTTAAACTTTATTTACAATTTCATTTCCCTGTATCAAATTCTCTAAAGACATTTTCTTCCTTTTTGGTAAAATAAATGTTTTATTTCATTTCAAAAACTTTAAGTTTATTCCAGTCACTGCATACGCAGCAGATGTTGCTTTTCCTGTCAACTTTCATGAAAACTGGTTTTGGAATATTATCAAAGACTCTAAGAAGTACACCTGTAGAAGACAAAACATGGATGTTATTACTCTCCTTTCCTGCAACAAAAATGTTTTCATTGCTGTCTTTATCCAGTCCGTAAGCGAATATAATGTTAGGGTTCTTGTACGTCCAGATAGTGTTCCCTTCATAATCTATAGATGCTACAGTATGATCTGACCAGCTACTGTACACGATTTGACCATTTTTCAGAATCATTACATTAACAACACTCCCAGAGGTGGTTGGATATTCTTTTAAAAGCTTCCCCGAAGAACTCATTTTCACTATTTTGTCCAAACAAGCTGCGTAAAAGTTTCCTTCCCAAACATCCATTCCAAATACGCTTATATTGTTATTCAATGGAATGCGTTTAAAGCGCTGTAATTCTGGAAAGGAAATATCCAAAATGGAATCTTCTCCTGACACAAAAATGCTATTTCCAATTTGGGAAATACCAAACGTTCTTTTTTTATTAACTTGGTTTAACTTTCTAATCAATGACCAGTCCTTGTCGAAAATAAAACAATTTTTAGATTGTGTCGACACCATAAATGATCCATCTGTAAGAAATGTCCCACTGTATGCATGTTCAGCTAGCTCTAACTCTTTTACTAAAGATAGTGTCACGGTTTTGACCGGTTTTATGACAGGATTTCCAGTTTTATTAATTTTCACTTCAGACTCTGAGAGTTCCAACTCTACAAGACATGCGGATTGTTTTATTATATTAAAAATCGCTGCATCCCTTATAGATATTGATATTTGCTTTTTAGAAAACTCCTCTCTGAATTTAACGTTGTTAAAAACTTGCTTTGCAGTGTAATATTGCAACATCATTTCAGCATCATTGTCAGAAACTTTGGCTCTTTCAATATTTTTTTCACAGTAATTTGCACACTGAATGCCTTCGGACAACCTATCAACACACATACGGATTTTACCTTTACTTTTCTTTACAGCGACAGATACATTCTTTAAGTGCTCATTTTTTAGATTTTCCAAATAACTTACAGCTTCTTCGTAGTTTCTTTCTGTCATCTCTGTTGTTTTTTCCAACACCTCATCAAGTTCAGCTATATTATTTTCTTCCTCCTCTTTTGCATCAGATAAAGTGTTTTTCAGCTTTTTCACATCAGATAACAAAATATTAAAGCTACAGTTGTTCCGTAGTTTCTGACTTGCACTTTCAATAGTGGTAACATCTTTGCATTTTCTATGTTCTGTACAATCACATATTGTACAACAAGGTTCTTCATGATCATGACAGTATACTTTCACTCTCTCTCCTCTGTGTTTAGGACAGGTATTTCCAAGAACTGGACCTAAGGTTCCAGGTTTCATATCTGTAATCTTGTACACTTTATGATCTTTCAGCATCAACTGTTTTCTGTGGTATTTTGTACACAAATCGCATAAACTTTCCATACATGCTAAACAATAATGGGTGCTATAGACTTCTTCACTGTCTCGTAAGCAAGCATCACACATTCCTTGGTTTGGTTTCTCTATCATTTTTTCTAAGATTTCATTAACTGGAAAAAGCCCTGCCAATTGCTCGGGTTTATCAAACGCACCATTATTTGGAATATATTCACGACATAATGGACAATTAAAACCCAAACGCGAATCCGTAGATTTACAGGAGCTCATGATATAGGAAGATAAACAACCATGACAAAAAGAATGTGTGCACGGCAAATACCTGGGTGTTTTGAACTTTTCAAAACAAATTGAACACAGAATAACATTCTCCACCGAAAAGTTTTCTTCACATGAAGTTGCCATCGTAAAACGTATAGTCTTCCGCCGAACGAAACGATAACCGGAAGACACCGGTGAAAAGATATAGGCTTTTAACAAATATATAAAAACCCATGTGTGTTATAATTAAATATTTTTGCTTCCAAACCCGGCTAAATACGATAACATATTCATAACTCTTATTAATATTTTAAATCATGATTAACATTTTTTGTGACAACGTATACTAACAATGGTTTGTCACTAATATGGCTATGGTCATGTTATGCCTCATGATTTATTTTACATGTACTGAATTTTGAAGTACACAGTGTATGGATATATGCACGACATTAATTTTGTACTTTATGGATTGGTATTGAAAGATTATATAGTGCATGACCATACACATAAACATGAGGAAGAAAGATTCGTATTAAAAAGATTTGCTATAATCTTGATTATTGCATTAAACTTTTCATTGTGGGAAATTAAACTTTTCATTGTGGAAAATGATATAAAATATGAATTCACTTGTCTTGATCTTACATAAGAAAAAATAAAATTCGATGCATAAAAAATATTTTTAATTATCTGATTGTTCATGAACATGCAGAATTGTGAACAGGACAGAATATCCTTTATATTTGTATGTAAGAAATTAACAAAAGGATGCATTCTGTTCATTTCAAACTTTGCGCCGGATTGTTATACAAATTTAAAGATTTTATTAAAATGTATAAAAGAAATATATAAAATATATAACTGAAATATATATATTTTGTTATTCATTGATTTATAAATTTATTGATTTATCAAATTACAGTGCATAATTATATTTTTTATTTTTTGTGAGAATGTCATTGAATTGGTTTTTTTTTTTTTTGGCTGTATGAATTGTAGATGTCAAAAAAGTACATGACACATTCATACAAAAGATTTCAGATATTATTTAAATATTCATGAAAAGTCTGTCAGCCTGTCCCATTTAGTTCCGCTATCTGCTATCTTTTTTCTAAACGCTTGCAAATGTTAATCTAATTTTTAATATGTGAATTTATCTTTAGTGGCAGATTGAAGGGGGACGCACCCGGCGCTCTTCCACTCATCTACCCACCCAACCCCTAAAATTGTCAAAGTTAGCATAAAACAGTTTCGGTGACAAATATAAGAATGTGTAATCGGTAGACCTCTTTTTGCTCTATAAATTCTGTAGAATCCAGGTGCTCTGGAACTACTGGGGGCAACAAGGCGGTCTCAGACTACTACCTACTTATTGCTCCCCTAGCTTTAATACTTGGACCGTGCCTGATATTGACGAGTCGTAGATCACATTTACATTTAAATTTTTAATGGCAACCAGATTTCACTTACTAGTTGAAGACTAGTATTCCCTACTTTCAACATGCATCTTTAAATTAATGTTCGTTTGCCCTCACCCAACTCTGGGCAAAATTAATGGGTTGGTAGTGCAATTATTTTCTCCAGAAAATTTTAACATATTTGTTGACGGGATGATAAGAATGAAAATTGCATCGTGTCTTGGAATGTAAAAAAGGGGAAGGGATTGAGTGAGTGCCATTTTAGTAAGTCTTTAATTCAAGGGAGGGCAACCAAAACATTTTTTTAAAGATGGCCATATTTAAGAATATTTGAAATTTACATTTTCATTGAAATACGGTTTTTTTAAGCTAAACAGAATATCAAACCTTGGTTTCACTATCTTTTTAAAGTGCCCTTTAGATATTGTGAAGGTTATAACTTATGTTGATATGATTTTGATTCTTTAATGCTGTGTCCTTTTTTATTTCTCCTATCGACTTTATTGTTACTATATAAATTAAATTGTCAATTTACCAAATGTATGACCATCCTTAAAAAAACTTTTTGAGACTCCCCAGCTGGGAAATGCAGTCTGTCACCATTAATTTTAATTTTTTTTTTTTAAAGTAAAAGAGAAAAATATTAAATACCTTCGTATTTTGTCACATCTTCACTTACCAAAATAAATAAGATCGAGCAGAGAATTGAAACTTAATAACAATTGAAACTTAGTAAAGAATAAGTACAAATTAAAAACATGATAAATCGCATTCTTATATTTATCAGATGAACAAAAATAACTATGCCGATTTAAATCAAAGTTTCCCCCGAAGCTGCCTTTAATGTTGAATCGAAGGGTTATTTCATTTTCAAGGGAGAATTAGTTATGAAATAGCAGGAAATATACATATGTTGGGTTCATTTAAAAAGCTAGTTTAAGTACAATTAAGAAGGAGTTCAAACTCTCGTAAAAATTGTCAGAGAAAATAAATAATATTCTGAAGGAATTCAATTCTAAACCCCAGTATTGAGCAAAAATGATTATACATTGCAAAGATGGTTTTATCAATGTTTAGTTAGTTTTCCTGTGTAGATGACCCGGATAATACAAAATCCGTATAGGATATTCTCATCCTTATATATTCTCTATCCTATTATCACAGCCATGTTAATATTATTACGGAAACATTCTACACTGCCGTATCCGGCTTGACTAATAGGTCAACGAAATCTAGATCAACAAGATATTTATTAATTCATTATAAATGATTTCTTTTATTCAATTACTTATATAATTGTTTTCAAATCCTAAAAGAAAATATTTTCCCCAAATTATATCTGCAGGAACTTTCTTGAACAAAGACACGTATTTCACAATAGTTCAACATAATAGGAAATAAACCTTGCACAAGAATGGAAACTTTGGAAGGCAGTTTATCCTTGTTTTGACATTGTTTCATATGGACATTTAAGATGATCGACGCCTTTAAGCTTTCCACTTTCTATTGAAATTTGTAACGTTTCCATGTGCCTCTTCTGAAGTTTTACTCTTTTTCTCCCAGTATTACATTGGATGTATATTGAGGAATAATATTTTGTTCATTCAATTAAAGATGGATCTTGAAACAGAAGAAGATATAGACAAGTAAGTAAGGCAGTCATTTTCTCATTCATTTGAGGTCATGGATACAATCTTAGAAAGCATGTAGATGGTTGGGTATAGTTATCAACTATTCAAGGAGTCATTGAAGGATACAATGTATTCGTGAATTTTGGGTAGAGTTTGAAAAATTTCAGAGAGGTGCGTTAAACAACAATCAACAAACAACTAAATGCTTTCCCTCTTTATTCAATTTGTCTGCACATAGTTGCAGTTATGAGTCTACGTCTTTCAAAAATGCATTAACTCAATCATACAATCTTTAAATATATCATAACCTCATGTAATGTGAATCATAATTATATTGTATTATCCTTTGTGTAAATTATAGTAAATGAAAGATGTAATGCTGCACGTACTAGTGCTACCGTCAATCATTCTAAATCGGAGTTGAACTTTCTCCACGACATTCCACCTGGATGGTATTAAACGTTTGTCAGGTCAAAATATGCCCCTCGCTTGAAAAGCGGGAGGGTATATAGTAATCGTTATGTCCGTCCGTCCGTGCGTCTGTTACGCTTTGGGGTACCCATCTCTTATCCGCAACTCCTCTCATACCACTGAATGCAATTTGATGAAACTTTCACATAATCTTTATTACGTATTGCCATTTTGCACCTCCTATTTTACTTTTTAATCTGAGACAGATCTTGGGTTTCCCATAACAAAACATGGACACTCCCATTATATTCATATGGGAGGCGGGGATATCATTTAGTGAGCTCATTGCTCACAGTTCCTCTAGTTTTGAGACTATCTTCAACAAAGGTTTGGTAGCTCTCGTCCGACCGATTGACAAAAATTACCAGTCAAAACTTTATTTTACATTTAAGTTTACGATATATATATTTTTTTACTTCTTTTTATTCCTCTTATCCCGATAGCAAATATCTTGAAGTTTTCGTGAAAAAAATCCCACCTACTTAAAAAGCCAATAATTTTACCCTAAAAAGGGAGAGGATTTACAAGGTGAAGAAACATTTTATCAAAGATGGACCGACTTTGTCGTCTTAATACGGTGTTTTAATTGAGAAAGTTTTCCACACACTTTAGGAGTAAAATACACGGAAAATATAGATATGTATCAATAAATGTTATAAATCCCTCTAGACTTTTTATTTGTTTGGTCAAGTTATAAAGTGTATTAAGTTTATTTCGCTATGGATAAACAGATTCGGTAATTTTCACTCTACATGGACGTTGACTGTAAAGTAATGTTCTGTTCTTTTTAAATAGGATGGATCTAGACAACACAAAGAATCAACTGGACAAGGGGTTACTTTCACAATTCGTTTGACATTGCAAGAATTTTTTTTCAGTTGAGTTGCTATAAAATAAAACATTGTCCTTTTTTTATTAAAGGATGAATCCTGATAATACCAGAAACAAATTGGACAGGTCAGTTAGCAAATCGTTTCTCACTGTTATATATTTCTTTAGCATGTAGACCCATAGAACTTTCCTCAACTCTACCTACCAAGATTGCAAAAAATCATATCGTCTGCAAATATTGGAAAACAATGAGCATGTTCAGTACATACGACTGTAATTGATTGATTCTAGAAATTTGAAATTGAAAGACATAAGGAAATATTTAAGATTAATATTAATGATACATGCATACACTATTGCCCAATATTGCAAACGTTACTATTCTAATATCCTTGAGTTTTCGTTTGATTTTGTAAGATTTGAAACTAGGAACGTACGTAATTTAAAATGATTTACATTTTCACTCTACTTCACTTACATTCATTTCATGAATGTCATAAAATAATGTCAACAACTGTATAATGTCATTATGGTCATGCTGTCATAATGTTCAAAATGGCATATTGTTAATAATTTCATAAAGGTCAAAGTGTCATAAAAGTTATAATGTAGTAAAGGTCAAAATATCATAATGGTCATAATGTCATAAAGGTCA